ACAGTGGAAACAAAGCTATAAAGGAGAACTCTGATCTTACTTTGTTCTGTGACACAACTGGTAAACCAACTGCCAATATTACCTGGACGAGAGTGTTGGATGATAGGAGTAATGGAGAGAAAATGTTTGATGGGAACCCTTGGTTTATCAGAAACATACAAAGGAACGCGAATGGAACATATCGTTGTACAGTTTACAATGGATTTGGAAATGCAGTGACCCGTTCAGTGCATGTGGACGTAACTTGTAAGTATGCAAATGTTTCACAAGAAATCTGTTTTTCGCAAGGATCAACCTGGGGAAATCTGTATTAATTGCTGAAAATGAAGAAATGTGTCTGAAAGTATTAGGAAAGTGCAGATAAAACATAGCATTTGGAGATGTAAATTTAGGAAACAGTGCAAAGGAAGTTATCATGTTTTGTGTGATCTCTTGGGGGAAGTTACCTTTTAACTGACATAGAGTTAAGTGAATGTTTACACAAACACCAGACAATTATTCCACAGTTAAACTTCTTGTTTGATTAAGCGTACATGTAGGTTACTGAAAATGTATACTGTTTTTTTCTGAATCAAACAAACAGTATACATGTGCACACAAAAAAGGTAAATAATAAGAGCTGAAAGGAACATTGTATAATTCAGATTGACTATGCAACTAAACGACCGTAAACCTTGCGTGGCCACTGAATTAGAAGATGGAAATCTAGGATGTTTGCCACCTGCGGAGGGAAAAACAGCCCGTGTTCTGTTCGGTTGGAGACTGTTAACACCATACATACATGTACATTTCACTCAACGAGTTTCTTGGAGTAAAAAACTAGTTTAGTTTAGAAAGTCTTCTTCAGTAAACATACTTTGCGTGTCCATGTATTCTAACTCCTGCAGTATACTTCTTTTTCGTTGCAAAGTCGTTTCGATACAAGTCGATTCGATACACGTAAAAAATTGATTTCGATACAATTTCAGTCATTTCGATACAAACTTGTGGAGGAGTAACTAGATGTTTGGATGTCTTGATGATTCACCAGAACTGGCCTGAAGAATCGCTCTAAAGTGCATGTGAAATATGCTTGTGAGGAGTCACGTGGCCCACTAGATTGAACTCGGTCAAGTTATGGTGCTCAAACTTAATCTGTGGGTTCTATATGAAAATTTGATAAGAATACTCGAGCAATGACGTTAAACTTACCTGTACATCATTCTTGTGCCTTTGTTGAGTCATAGGCGTCAGCTCCTTCGTAGATGCAATCTGTTCTCGCAGCAAGGTACCTTAAACTCCCTTTATCAAACAGGTAGACATCCAAACTTATCCGTTTGAATCGAAATGACTAAAGTTGTACCGAAACGACATTCATGTGTATCGAATAGACTTCAATTTGTATCAAAACAACCCGTCCCCCATTTCAGATGTAACATTGTGCGCTGCTCATATTATCAATTCAACTTGTTTTTTTTGTGTTAGTTAAAATGTTGTTTCCTTTCTAAGAAATTTTACAGAGATTTCTGTTCCGTGAACTGCACTGTATGGCTTCTGAAATGTGTTTGCAGTAACTTTGAACGCCCGGGTAAAGCTAGATGTAAAGTGGTAGCCTACAAATGCCATGATGGAAGCACAGAAGGGTGTTTTAGTCCACAGTGCTAATTAGTGAAAACTTTAATTCGATCCGAAATGTAGCGGGCCACTCTTGCGAGACTATCATTGAAATGCTGCTCTACTGCACTCTGGGAGGCGACCTAAAAGGGCTAAAGGGTACTGCCTCTGTGGGAAATGTACTTTCTAAGCCTATCTTCCCAAAACCCTAAGGGATCGGAGAGAAGACCTTTGCTTAAAATTCTTTAACAACATCTTCTCCAATCCCTTGGATTGTTTGTACCACTTACTGCCTTTCGATAACCGAGGTCAACTTATGGAGTTACGACAACGCAGACCATTTAGAGTTTCCTTTAAAACAAATCGGTTCAGAGATACTTTCATTCCGGCAAGCGCAAGACATTTTAACTAACATTTATTACAATTGTATATGTAAATTAGTTCCCTTTTAGGTTTGATTTTATTGTATAGTTCTATTACATAATTTGTAAACCTTTGCAATTCAGCTTCCAGCTGCTATTAAG